ACAGCACAATAAGCAGAAGAGACAAAGAGAGACGCACACTGATGTTCAGCTCGGACATTTTCAGTGTTGAAAAAAATAAATAGTAAGGTGACAACATGTTCAGAAGAAATAAATGTTGATGTTTCATAATTAAGAAGAATAGGAGGCACCTAATGCAAAATACGTGGACGTTGTTTCAACGAACCAAATGTGGGAACATCAGAACATACGCAGACCTTCTCTTTAATGAATTACCAAATAATCAGATTAAAGTTCCCTTCAAAAGTTAAAGCCTCCTCCAACAAGACGTCTCATTCGTCGCGTGTTTCGGTCCTGATCACGCATCTTCTTTTCAATTTCAGCATCTGTGAGCGTCTCCAAGAATGGACCCCAAGCCTCAGATTCAGAAGGATTCCTAAAACAACCCGCTCTTGGCTGCAACGAATCAGTATGTTATCCGAACAACAGGAAACATACCTAAATGTACATTCCACAGTTGGTTGTGGGCTTTCAGAAAACGCGTATGTTCTTTGATTCCATTGCAACTGTCCACGAATAGAGTACGCAATTGCAGAAGTAAACTCTCCACCGAGTCCAAGTTCAGCGCAGAGGCTTCGCGCAAATTCTTCCGGACTATTTGCCGGGTCAGACATATCCCATCTAAAATAAAATGGTAAAAAACTAGAGCTTATGAATATCGACTCAACGACCACGTTAACATACTCAAACTGATCGACGAGACTTTGATTTCCAACATTGATATTGAGTTTCATAATCGCTCGCTGGTCAGTAACGTTTGGATCCAAAGGAGGTGCCTCGGCGGCCGCTTCAAGCTGAAAAGCGCAAGGTGAGCATGGCTCCCACGACACTGTAAATTACAGTAGCGCTCAAAAGTCTTCGGCCATATGCTCTGTTACTCGTACTTTCAGTCGTAATCATTTCCTACTAGATCTAATCATGCAAAATATCGATATGTGCAGCATGAGTGTATCGTGAATTCTTACCACTATGTATTAACCTGGAAATACGGATGATGGTACTTCTCGATTTTCTTTCCCTTTTGGCACGTCTGAAGAGTACAAGCGCTAATGCCGAACACANGAAACATACCTAAATGTACATTCCACAGTTGGTTGTGGGCTTTCAGAAAACGCGTATGTTCTTTGATTCCATTGCAACTGTCCACGAATAGAGTACGCAATTGCAGAAGTAAACTCTCCACCGAGTCCAAGTTCAGCGCAGAGGCTTCGCGCAAATTCTTCCGGACTATTTGCCGGGTCAGACATATCCCATCTAAAATAAAATGGTAAAAAACTAGAGCTTATGAATATCGACTCAACGACCACGTTAACATACTCAAACTGATCGACGAGACTTTGATTTCCAACATTAATATTGAGTTTCATAATCGCTCGCTGATCAGTAACGTTCGGATCCAGAGGTGGTGCTTCTGCAGCCGCTTCAAGCTGAAAAGCGCAAGGTGAGGATGGCTCCCACGACACTGTAAACTACAGTAGCGCTCAACAGTCTTCGGCCAAATGCTTCTTTTACTCGTACTTTTCAGTCATAATCCTTTCCTACTATATTTACTCATGCAAAATTTCGATGTGTAGCATGGGTGTATCGTGGATATTTACCACTATAAACCTGAAATCTGACCATGTT